TATATAATAATATAAATGTTAGATAAATAAGTTCCTTAAGTAAGTGAATTTTGTAATTCTTATTAAGGAAATAAATATATTCTTAAACCTATTTGGCGTAGATGTAGAGTATGGTCTGGAAGAACACATAGGCAACTTTTAATTCTACGCGGACGGAGTCGCGGGCGAAAGCTAGTAACAAATAAATGTATCTGGTATTTTAAGTTTGTATTAAATTGTTAAAATATCTATTACATTAAGTAAAAAGTCAACTTCGTCTAAATGTAAATCGGAATAGCCACAGCCCGCTTGGTTACCGACTGCGAACGTTTCGCCTGCATTGTGAAGTTATTCTAACACATTTTACTGTAATACCGAAATAGCGAACAGAATTTGAACGATGTTGAGAATGTTTGATGAAATTAAATGCAAATTTGAACTCCTTAATTAGATCTATTACGTTGTGTTAAAGTTACTGTAAACGGTGGATTTTTGTTATGACTTTTGTCTATTTTTAAATGTTTGTATTCTTAATAAGATAAAACTAAAATTTAGCCATTCATTGGGATTTTATAACAAGTTAGTAGCGTTTTTTTTGAATACGCCACTTTGAATGTATCTTGTTGATATGTAAGGTCTTTTTAATGTACATTTTAACACTTACTAAAAAAAAAATTAACACTTCTTTAACTGTTCATTATAATGTGCTAGCTTTTGCCCGCGACTCTGTCAATGTGCAATTATAAAAAACAAAAGTAAGTAGACTATGCGTTCTTCCAGACAATGTTCTACATCTGTGCCAAATTTCATCCAGATCTGTTCAGCCGGTTAGGCTACAAACTCTAACAAACATCCATCCATCCATCTAAACTTTCGCATTTATAGTATTAGTTAGATTTGTAAAATCTTTGAAGTTTTTTTACGATATATTTTATTACTAAGCAATGTGCCGCATAAAAATAGATACTGGGCCATGAACACAAAAAGACGCAGAAAGCACGTGAAGAAAATGTAACAAAAACAATGCGATGCGGTCCTTAAAACTGTAACAATGTGCTTATCTATTTCTTGTTGCATTGCAGGGAACTTAATGCCGTGCATATACCTCTGTTTAATGCTTTTTTAACTTGATGTATTTTTTGCATTATCCTACAAAATATATACCAAACACATATTGTTTTACCATTTGATAATTCTGTATAATGTTTTGTTTCAATTGATAAGGCTAATGTTGGAAATTACTTTTGGATGAAAGGTAATTTTGTTATTCATGAATTTAAAATCGTAGGCATAACAAATAACGTATGGTTTATTTTTTCAATTCTTTAAAACGTCTGACGTCAGTTCGAATGACTGATTTCAATCCTTTTCTTATAGACCCTCGAGGATTTGGTCGAGACGCTTGCAATCGTATCTATTTTACGTTCAATGTGCGACTCGAATAAGTTGTCTTAATTTCTAATACTAAATTAGAACCCATACTATATTCCACATTAATTATTAATTCAAACTTTATAATTAATATTAAATTTTAATTAACTAATTAAATTCAATGTTAAATTAATTAAATAACAAGTTGCAATATTAATTAATATGTATTCACACATACGATTCCCAGTATCTTGTGTAGTTATTCCAGTGTTCACATCTGCATAATTTATGACAGGAAACCAAGTAGGTGTGTCAAATTACATGAATTATTCCTTTATACTATTCTATTTAATGAACTCTAATATTAGCATACATTAAACGATATATTTCAATTCAAATTATATTCATATTATATTATAGTGTCGTATAATCATTCAGATACTTCCTTTTCCCACGACGATTGCGTAAAATTAAAAAAAAAAGTTGTCTATGGGTTATTCCAGAATGTAGTTAATCTAACTGTATTCAAATTTTCATCCAGATACGTATTTTAAGTGTCTTTTGTGCAGTATTTGCGTCTCAAGGCCGTTTACGAGTTGCTTTTTGTTACTTTTAGTAAGGAGAAATATCATTATGTTCGCCTCCTTCTCCGTTGATTAAGGGTAGACAACGCATCTGCAATTGCGGATGTCTATGGCAGCTATAGCTTCGTTTTCTTGTCGAATTAAGATGGCCGCTTGCTAGTTTGCCACCTTATAACATACTTCAGTTGTTTTGTGTAGAATAATACTGAACAGAAACTAAAAAACTTATATAACAACATTGATTGCGCCAGTTTTCTAATAACTTAAGATAATACTAAAATTTTGTTACCCCACTCTACCCTTTAGTGTAATATAAACAAGAAGAGGTTAAAGATATCATTTTGAATGAAAATGTCTGCGAGAGAACATCCCTAATACAGATAAAATTTAACATCCCACTCGACATTTGAAGCGCGTGCCATTCAGTGGATTATAACTTTGAAGAGCCAGTACTACCATCAAAATTCTCTTTAAGTAGCCTTTTAAGATTACAGCTTCGAATTTTATTTTGTACGTAAGAAGTGCAACATCAAAATAAAAGATTTGTTATTCAAATGTGACCACAAAACGAAAAAAACTTTTTAAAATGAATAGCAAAAATGCAGCTAATAACAATAGAATAACACACGTGTTTAGTGTCTGAAAAAAAATACATTCAAAATTTGGTTCTGAAGCAATTTTTTCTTTCATTATGACGTAGGCTATAGCCAAAACATCAACTTAGTGTGGCGACTATCATTGTTTTACAAAAGAAAGAACAGATAATTAAGTGCTACTTTTAAAACGAGTTTTCTTTGTCTTATCTCTATTTTTATAAGGTTTTTAGATTCAAAGTTAAGATTCAGAGTGAAATAATTGTTAGTTTGTTTTCACTAAATTACATTATAATTCTTTTTTTTCTTATGTTACCTTGTCTTTCTATATTAAATCTATACTAATACTAGCTGTTCCCGTGCGACTTTATCCGCGTAGAATTATGTAATTTTTTTTGTTCACAATCAATTGCAAATGTCAAAATGACATGACATGATGTTGGCAACAACTTATGGTCACAAAATATTTACCCCTAAGATTAACGGCGTGAAAATCTATAGCCTAAAGCGTGACGTAAGTGTAGGGCTTTTTATTAAAAAAAAAAGAGTTATTCGAAAATATGCCGAAATTGCTGACATCTTAGGCAACAAAGAAGTGTGTGTTTACGCTTTATTATAATAGTATAGATTATAAAGAGAAAAGATCTGTATTTTAATACATATTAAAATAACTAAAAAAATACTTATCTGTAAGTAACATAGGCATTTTTTCAATATCACGCGGGCGAAGTCGCCTGCAACAATTAGTAAATTCATACACTAAGGGCTGTCATTAAAACAAACTTCCTTTTTAAATTTCACTTTAATTGATATTTATGACATGAAAGTATTCGGTTCAAGACAAGTTTCGATATACATAAAACAACTATTGTCACAGAGTTATAATATTACATAGTTTTATAACAAAAATACATTTCAAATAATACTCAATTTGTTTGTCGTTGTTGTTTTAAGAAAACAAAAGAAACACATGAAGAATTTTAACATAGGAACATAGAAACGTAGAGTTAAATATTTTTAAACTTAGGTAATTTACTTATTTAATTTACAATTAAAATCAAGGTAATGAAATTATATAAATAACTAGATAAATGCACATAACGGTCTTATCGTTAAATACTTACACTATATAGGAAACTTATTTTTGGTTAAGTTAATGTTAAAATCATATTTATCTGATTCATTCTATATTTTGGAAAAGTGATTCGTTAAAATAATAAATCTTGCACATATCTTCCATACTCGAGGTTAGGGCAGCCCTTTCTGATTTTTACAATCTGAAATCTATATTTAGAGGTCACTTATGTAACTATTATGTATTTCTGAGTATGGCAGATATGTGCATATTTAACATGATTAAGTTTCTGAAATGATTAAAAGAGCAAACATTAAATGTTACATTTATTTACATACAAAATATGGAGATGTAACCAGAAAAAAACATGTTTAAATAGATTGTACTATAATAGGATAGTTCCAATTAATATCACAGTTTCTGTATTAAAATTAGGACATTATAAAGTCATTCACTACAACTAGAAACAATAAGTTCTCGTTATGTCCGCACATTCGTTCACATCTTGATGTCACCCAAAATAATACTGAGCATTCGAGTATCGATACATACTTCTCGTGTTAGGATCAGTTTCCGCCTGGATTTGTACTCTAGGTAACGTTTTCACTGCGACACCACGACCTAAAGTCCCATGGTGGACTTGTCTTAAAGGCATTTCTATAGGATACTCTGCTACTTGTCCGTAAATGTTACTGCTCACATGTGGATACGTGTTTGGTACTGGTCTACCGACGTATCTATTAATTTTAGGACTGATAGTCATACTGGCGAGTTGCATTTCTTGTTTGAGTCCTGCGTCTACATTATCGACAGGTCCT